CTGGGCTGGGGGCACTGAAATGTTAAGTGACTTACCCAGGGTCATAGAGCCAATACATGACCGAGGTGGGACTGGAAACCAAGTCTTCCTGATTCCAAGACCACTAAAATCAGAAACAGGAATAATTTAAGGAAGGTAACATAAAGACCTTATATGTTATCAATCAATAAAATACTTATTAAGCACTTGCTGCGTGCTAAACCCTAGGGATACAAAAAGAGTTGAAAGTTCCTGCCCTCAAGATGCTTACAATCATGGAAAGTAGTACTTCAGCTGCTGGCCAGCACCGAGGCTTTCTTTGGGTTGCTGAAGCTGGTCAAGTCACCAGAAGGCTTCAAGCACCAAACCAGACCTCAGACTTGGCAAGTGAGACTCTCTCTGTTATTCTAATACCTGGGATGTCATTTTTCTACACCAGCACCCTTTTTATGTGTATGGCCATCTTACAGGTGGGATCTCATCCTCATTAAAAAGCTTTTCTTACAAGTGGGAGTTCCTACCTCCTCTATACAAGGGAGCTCAATGTTATTGCTGCTACTTGTTCATGTTTTATGCCTATGTGGACAATTTGCATTGCTGTGGATTTCAGTGGAGAAGCTATGGAATGGTCCTGTGCTCAATGTAATTAGTACCTTTCCATCATCAGGTAGAAGCATGTGGGGAATCTGCATCTCAAGAGGGCATCCTTTTGTTTGGGCTTCATGCAGGGCATCTTCCATGAATGATGAGAGAAAGGAAGGAAGGAAGGAAAGAGAAAGAAAAAGAAAGAAGGAACATTTATTAAGTATTTACTGCATGTAAACACTATGCTAAATGCTAACGTGCAGTTAGAAAAGCAGAGACAGGCCCTGCTTTCAAGAAGCTCACAATCTAATGGGTAAGATAACATGCAAACAACTAAGTATGAACAAAATACATACAAGATAAATGAAGGATAATCTCAGAGGAAAGACTCTTAAGATTAAAGAGGAACAAGAAAGTCTGCTTGTAGAAAGTGAGACTTTAGCTGAGACTTAAAGGAAGCCAGGAGGTGGAATATTTTTGATAACTGTATTTCAGTATAATCAGTTTTCTTTGTAATCCTATTCATTTTATTTCATGCATTTAAAAACATTATTCTGAGGGGTAGAGCCCAGATAGTGGAGTGAAAGCAGTGACTTGCTTGAGCTCTCCCCCAAACCCCTCCAAATACCTGTAAAAAAAATGGCTCTAAACAAATTCTAAAACAGCAGAACCCACAAAAAGACAGAGTGAAACAATTTCCAGCCCAAGACAACCTGGATGGTTGATCAGAAAGGTATATCGCACCGGGCTGGGAGAGGAGCACAGTTTGGCATGGCATGCAGGTCACAGCAAACCTGGAGCAGGCCTCAGAGGACTGAATCTCAGGCCCCTGTGGCAGTTCCAGACTTTTCCACCCACAAATGCCAAAGACAATTTAGAAGGTCAGTGGGAAGAGTCTGTTTCTGCGGTGCTGAAAGAGAAGCACAGTGGGGTTCCAGCCCCATTCCCTGGGATGGTGGCTGCCTCCTGAGCTTCCAGCCCACAGACTGAGGGGGAATCGAGTGGCTGATCAGAGGGGCATTGCAGAGATCTCTTTGCCAGTACTGAGGCAGGAATCTCTTGCTTTGCCCGTGCTTGAATCTGGGTCACAGTTCTAAGAGGGGGTCCTGGGGCAAGGAGGAGCGCTGGTACTATGGAGCTTGTTGTGGCAGTGGAGAGGAAATACCTCTCCCCTTATCACACCACCTTGGAAGAACTGAAAATTTACAGGTCCCTAGAAGTATCTCTGAAAACAGCTGTACAAACCCCCGAAGCTTGGGACAGTACATTCTCCACACTGGAAACAGACCCCTACCTTAACAAAGAGTTTATAACTCAAGTAATTGGCCGGGATTATGAGTAAGCAGTGCAAAAAGAGTCAGGCTATATTATCTTACTTTGGTGACAAAGAAGATCAAAACATACAACCAGAAGAAAACAAAGTCAAAGCTCCTACATCCAAAGCCTCCAAGAAAAATATGAATCAGTCCCAGGTCTTGGAAGAGCTCAGAAGGGATTTTGAATATCAAGTAAGAGACAGAGGAAAAACTGGGAAGATAAATTAGAGTAATATAAGAAAATCATGAAAAACAAGTCAACAGCTTGCTAAAGGAGGTCCAAAAAAATACTGAAGAAAATAACATCTTAAAAAATAGCCTAACCCAAATGGCAAAAGAGGTCCAAAAAGCCAATGAGGAGAAAAATGCCCTAAAAAGCAAAATTGGCCAAATGGAAAAGGAAGTCCAAAAGCTTACTGAAGAAAATACTTCCTTAAAAATTAGAATAGAGCAATTGGAAGCTAGTGACTTTATGAGAATCAAGACACTGTAAAACAAATTCAAAAGAATGAAAAATTAGAAAACAATGTGAAATATCTCATTGGAAAAACAACTGACCTGGAAAATAGATCCAGGAGAGAGAATTTAAAAATTACTGGACTATCTCAAAGCCATGATCCAAAAAAGAGCCTAGACATCATCTTTCAAGAAATTATCAAGGAAAACTGCCTTGATATTTTAGAACCAGAGGGCAAAATAGAAATTGAAAGAATCCACCAATAACCTCCTGAAGGAGATCCCCAAAGGAAAACTCCTAGGAATATTGTAGCCAAATTCCAGAGTTCCCAGGGCAAGGAGAAAATATTATAAGTAGCCAGAAAGAAACACTTTAAGTATTGTGGAAACACAATCAGGATAACACAAGATTTAGCAGCTTCTACATTAAAGGACTGCTGGGCATGGAATATAATATTCTGGAGGGCAAAGGAGATAGGATTACAACCAAGAATCACCTACCTAGCAAAACTGAATATAATCCTTCAGGGGACTGGAATCTGGCTAATGATACAGTATTATCAAAACTGAAAATAAGTTCTAGGTATACATATCTAATGAGAAGACTGGTAGTGTGAGATTCCGTTAGATGGAGTAAAGAGAGACAGAGAGAGAGAGATGGAGGGAGGGTGAAAATTTGGAACTCAAAATTTAAAAAAAATGTTAAAAATTGTTTTTATGTGTAATTGGAAAAAAAACATTTTGTTAAGGCAAAAATGTGTGTATACATGCATACACATATATGTATAAATATCTATACATGCGTATATACACATCCTGGTGATATATAGATATCTAGATAGATATCCAGGTTGATAGTATATGTGTGTGTGTGTGTATGTGAGAGAGAGAGAGAGAGAGAGAGAAAGATCACCAGATATGTATCAAGAGTATATCACTAGGTCAAGACAATATGCAGAATAAATATTAGAGAAGAATGTGTTAAATTATCTTAGCAAAACACAAAAATTATCTTATCACAATTTAAATAAACTAGCCATTCCTAGTTTTTAACTCTGTAGAAATGGTAAGAGCAATGACTGTGGACTCAGATGACCTAGGTTCAAATCCTGCCTCTGATATTTACTAAGTGAGCGAGTCACTTAACCTTCCTGGGCCTCAGTTTCCTGATCTGTAAAATGAGGGGGTTGGAATAGCTGGCTTCTGAGGCCCTATCCAGCACTGAAGAGGATTCTGTGACTGTTTTTCTGAACCAAAAATTGGGGTATGTGTTCTGATAGAGGATAGTCCACTTGTGAATACTCATTAAAAGCCTGTTTTCTTACTTTGAAATTGAGACTGTCCCGGAAAATCAGAGGTGCGGAGACACTAAACTGGTGGCGTTCCCTCTCCCTGGTGTATCTTCCCAGATGCTAGGGAGCAGAGAGGGAGCACATATGGTCTATTCCTCCTGGAAACAGCCTAGCGAGCCAGCATTGGAGGGACAAGCCCGACAGTTTTGTGGGGACAGTGGGACCTGATGGACAACTTTAAAGGGCATAAGTGCCATGAAGCTGAGTGAAGAAGCAATGTGGCAGCTCAGTGGCAGAGTGTATAGAGTACTAGGCTGGGAGTCGGAATTCTACCTCAGGAGCTTATCAGCCGTGTGACCCTGGGGCAAGTCACTTAACCTCTGCCTCAGTTTCCTCATCTGTAAAATGAGGAAATTCCATCGTCATAGAGTTGCTGCGAGGATCAAAGAAGTGATGTGTGTAAAGTGTTTCGCAAACCTATAGAACTATAGAAACACTACGTTATTATCTATTTTATATTATGGTCTATGTTATAAATAATATTTATATATAATTTATTACAGATAAATATATATGTAATTTATTACAGATAATATACTCTGTTACATAGTGTATATAATATTATAGTGTTTCTAATAGTATATGTTATATAATATTTAATATAGAATGTAATTGTGATGTGATATCTATTATTTAATGTTATGTGTTCTATATAATATATAGACATATTAGCTACATTACTACTGTGAATAAGATTGATGAGAAAAGTTTAAATCAAGCAACTGAGACTATTCAGGCTGAAAGAGTCACCAAGGCGGTGATTAATGAGGGCTTTCAGATCCTCCAAGGACCCCTTTAGTGCCTCTATCTCCACTACAGACAGAATAAGAGGAAATTTCAGCCCCAGAGATTTAGGTTAAGTGCAAGGAAGTTTCCTGATAATGAGCAGTTAATGGGCCAGGACAGCCTGCCATGAAAGCTTGTAAAATCCCTTCCCCTAGAGGTTTTTCAGAGTAGAAAGGCCTCTTATTTTTACTGTAATGGTTTAAGGGCAGCCTTGCCTGACAAAGAGGAAGAGGATTGACAGAATGAGCTCCCCAAAGCCGTCCTAGAACTAAAACTTGGCTCAGCTACTTACTAGTCATGAGACCTTGGATAAGTCATTTCTTTCTCCACATTTTGTGTTCCAAAGTTGTAAAAGAAGGGAATTAGAGGAGATAAGCTTCACGTCCCTTCTAATGTAAAGGGACTTAATAACTCGGGGGATGGAGATTGGGAATGAGGCAAATTGGCAGGAAGCTCTAGGACACAGAGTTACCTCACTTTCTAATGGACTGCCATAGATCTCCTTTTTTGTTTGTTTGGCTTAAAGATTACATATACAGACATATGCTCAAATTGTTCGAAACTGAGGGAAAATGCCTCTAATTTCTACAAAGAGTGTACCTGCTCAATTTCTTTCTTCATTCCAGAGAAAATGCCAGTAAGTAGAATCCAAAAAACTTCAAACTATTCTGCTCCTGTTACTTATTCATTGTCAGGAAGTTAAGAGTTACCATCTATAAATTCTTAAAAATAAAAAAAAAAAACAACCTGGGAACACCGTTGGGTGGGGGAAGGGGAGGGGGGAAGGGGCAGGAGGAGAGAAGGAACCAGACAAAGGAAAGGCATTTCCATAAAGTCCATGCATGTATTTTCTAATGTTTTGGTCTTGCTCCTTTGCCTCCTATTGTCCCAAGTTTCAAGATTCCTTACTTCTTTCATTTTCCTAACAGGATCCTCAAGCCTAAACAGGCTGTATCCAAAAGCCACGTGCAGTCCAACAGCACGGAGAGATAGGCTCTCACCTTTTCAGGGCAAGGATGAGGGTGGGTGGGTGGGGACTAATTGCCCTTTTGCTGCCGGGGAATAAATCCATCAACAAACATTTATTAAACTTCTGTTGTACCTGAGACCCCAGGCATAGGGATATAGACTGGACATATGATTTCATCTTCACCCCGAATAAAGAAAGTGCCTTTACCAGTTCAACTTGGTGCCTTCGCTGTGATTTATAATCTTAAAAACAATTGATTAGAGCCTTTACAGGGCAGCTAGGTGGTGTCACAGCGCATAGAGCAATGGGCTTGGAACCAGACTCTTCCTGAGTTCAAATCTGGCCTCAGACCCTTACTAACTGTGTGACCCTAGGCAAGTCACTTACCCCTGTTTACCTCAGTTTCCTCATCTGTAAAATGAGCTGGAGAAGGAGATGGCAAAGCACTCCAGTATCTTTGCCAAGAAAATCCCAAATGGGGGTCACGAAGAATCAGAGGGGATTGAAAACAACTGAACAACAAAGAGCCCTTATAAGTAGTTAAGTGACTTGCCCAGGGTCACAAAGCCAGCATGTGTCAGTGGTGGGACTTGAAATTGATCCAAAATGAACTTAATCCTCTATACCACATTGCTCCTCGGCACTATGTTTGTATGGCAGACAAATCCAGAAGTAACATTCTTTGCCCTCACAGAGATCACAGACCTTGCTTCTTGTTTCTGCTTTCCCCACCCAGATTCTGAGCTACATTTTTCTGCCCCTAGTTGTTACTACAGGAAGAAAATCTAGGCAGTTTAGCTGTAGCAGGGGTGTTCTGGTAAATGTTTAACAACTAGCTCTCTGAAAAAAAAAAGTTCTCATCTGGCACTTTTAAGTTTAAGCTTCACTATTAACATTTTCTCCATCACTTTCTTAAGCTAGACAATCAACAGAGCAATAAATCAAACCCTAATTTGAGGCATCTACCGGTTCCCAAGGTGTAAATATTCACACTTTAAATTGAAATTTTAACAATCATCTCTCTAGAGCCTACACCAAACAATTTGAGTATACTACTGTCTATAATCTTAAATTGTCTCTACATATTCTGTCTTTGAAATGACTGTTTTACTTGTTTAGAGACCATGTTTTCTTTCTACATTGCTGCCTTTTGCTTCTCTTTTTCCAGATTGTATTTCACTTGTTTCACTTGTAGTATTTGCATTGTAAATCAATTGTTTTCTTGTTTCTCTGGTGAAATTTGCAACCATTGATTCAAGTTTTTTTTTTTTAATTCTGCTGATTATTTCTGCTGTGCAGGCCATAAATTCTGGTTTCACATTTACTTTTTCTCTTTGGGAATATTCTGCTGGAGTTCCACACTCTCATGGGAATTTACAGAGTCCTCTGCCTCAGGTGTTGATTCATTTCCCTTTGTCTTACAATGTTTATTTGTATATGTCTGTATTTATTTAGGTGCTCTGGAGGTCTTATTCCCTTCTTTTATTAATATCTTTCTTGTTGGTTTATCTGTTTATGCTCAAAGTCTTTTGTTTTCTTTATTCTGAATTTTATTTCTCCTGAGATCTTTGGTAATTTTTTTTTAGGTTCTCCGCTTACCCTTATATTCTCCTATTGCTCATCTTCTGACTTTTTCCCTTTTTACTGGCACTTGTAATTAGAGCTGTATCTCAAAGTTATCTCAGACTTCTCCCATTCTAGGGAATTAGTCCTTGCCCCAAATGACTTCAAGGGGGACAGAGCTAGCCTCAGCTGGATGTTGAGCCTTTTCCCTCAAGCTTAGGACCAGACGCATAGCTGGCATCCTGCCCCAGTTTCCTTTTTTTTCCTTCGTTCTTTACCTGACCTCTGTTGAAGCACGTAGCACTACCATACTGCTCTCCCAACCAGAGCAACCTTCTATTTTTTGGTTTTCTGGGGCATAGGCAGGAGGTGGTAGGCAGAGGTGAGTTCTGCTGCAGTCCCTGGATTGGCTTGGGCAGCCCTGCCAGAATGTGGTGGCTGATGTTGGATCAGGTTCTGAGTTAGTGCATTCGAGGTTAGGGATTAAACTTCTTTGCTGTTATTTCATTCGATTGTTATCTCATTAGAGTTCTTGGTGTCTTAGACTATGGAGACAGCTGAAATTGCCTTATCTTTTGTGCATAATTCCTATTTTGGAGAGATTTTGAGAGGTGGCCACCTAGGCAGCTAAGTGGCACAGTAGATAGAGCACTGGACCTGAAATCAGGAAGACTTGAGTTCAAATATGACCTTAAATACTTGCTGGCTATGTGACCCTGGGCAGTTAACCTCTGTATGCCTCACTGTATGCCTCCTCAACTGTAAAATAAGGATAACAGCATTTATCTCACAGGGATCTTGTGAGGATCAAATGAGATAATATTTATAAAGCACTTAGCATGATGCCTGGCATATAATAGATGCTTTGTAAATATTTATTCCCTTCCATTCCCTTATGAGGATCAGAAAAAGTACCTAGTCCTCTAATTTGCTGGACACATGACCCAGAACTCCCTAATAGTTTTTATTGTTGCAGCAGCTGACATTTATAAAATTCTTTGCACAGATAATCTCATTTGAACCTTACAACAGTCCTAAGGAGGTCAGTACTACAAACATCATCCTCATTTTAGAGCTTTGGAAACTGAGGTTTCAAGAACTGTCTGACTCCTCACTGTAAAACTAGAATTGTCAGAGGCAGGATTCAAACCCAGATTTTCCTAACATAAGCCTAGCATTCTTTGATTATCTGTCACCTGTGATGGATCAGACTCCTGTGAGATTGTCATGGAGCTGACTCTAAGAAATTACATGACTGTCTTCCTGCCTACTTGAAACCAATTCAACTGCTGCTGAACCCTATGACTTTGAGTCAGACTCTCTGGTGATTAGAGTTACTCAGATAGAGACATTCCTACCCCAAATTGCCTGAAATCACCTTCTGACCCTGTCCTAACCCTCTTCAATTCATTAAGGAATTTCCAGATACTCCCCTGACCTCCATCGCAAACCCATTAAGATGCCACCTTCTTCTGTGGCAGGCAGGTTCCAATTCCTAGCCCTGTTTCCTAATGACCAACCAATTGTAGGGCTCTGTCTGACCTCTATGTTAGAGGCAAGTCTCCCAGAACCCTTACATTCTACTGAACTACTTGACTGCAAATACTACATAGTAGGTCATAGATTTAGAGCTGGAAAGGATCTTAGAGGCCAATCTAACTTGCTTATTTTTCAGTTGAAGAAGTGAGTCCCAGGGAAGGTTGGTGAGTTATCCAAGGTCACATAGAAAGTAAATAACAAAGATGGGATTGGAACCCTGGTCACCTGCCTCTAGATTCAGAGCTCTTTCCTGCTCTCTCTCCCAACAGTGTCGTCCTGTTCTTGACTTGGGCACCTAGTTTTGCTGTTATTGTTCAGTCATTTCAGTTGTGTCCAACTCTTCATGACCCCACTTGGGGTTTTCTTGGAAGAGATACTGGAATGGTTTGCCATTTCCTTCTCCAGCTCATTTGACAAATGAGGAAACTGAGGCAAACAGGGTTGAGTGACTTGCTCAGGGTCACACATCTTGTAAGTATCAGAGGCCAGATTTGAGCTCAGGAAGATGAGTCTTCCTGACTCCAGGCTTCCACTGCACCATAAGCTTTACTTATTCCCAGTCAGAGAAATGAAAAAGAGCAGCCCACACATGACCACTCCCTGATTTGTTACTTGTAGCCCATCTTCCAGTCATGGGAGACAGTCTATGGAAAGCATCAAGATTGGAAAGATGGAATGTTGGATATGAGGAACAGGAAGTAGGTCAGTTATCATGGGGGGTAGGAAGGGGAACATAGGGAAGTGTAATTAGAATAGAAAGATAGGCTGAAGCAGTGTCAAAAGGAATTTGTATTTTATACTAAAGACAATGAGAAACCAAGTAAGCTTCTTGATCAGAAGAGTCTTATGGTCAGGTCTGTGCTTAGGAATATCAATTTGATCACTATGTGGAAGGTGAATTAAAGAAAGGAAAGATAGAAAGTAAGGAATATAATTAGGAGGCTGTCTTAATAGTTTAGATGAGAGATGATGAGGGTCTGTCCTAGGGTGGATGTAGAATGAGCAGAAAAGTAGGGACAGATAGAAAGAGGTTAAGAGGCTGAAATTGACATTTGGATGTTTGGAAAGGGGGGAGGGCTCTTCAAAGGATGACTCCAGGTTGGGAACCTGGGTGACTACAAGGAAGGTAATGTCGAGTTAACCTTTCAGAGCCTTAGTTTTCTCATCCGTTCAATGGGGACAATGATACCTGAGGTCCTTTCCTCACGTGGTTCTTATGACCAATGAAATAATCTATGTAAAGCGCTTTGAAAACATTAAAGCACAACAGAAATGTCGGTTATTATTATCAGTGATTGCTTCTTTGAAACCAGTACTGTAACCTTGCTTTAAGCAATTAACATGTCCTCTATACAGTTGCACCTTTTAGGAAAGAAAAAGACTGGTAAAATGTATTGAGGTAGCACACTGTGTGTTTCTTTGTATAGAAGGTGGTGCAATGGAGGTAACACTTATATTTTTAAAAATCTGCAAATGAATCAGTGTAAATAAATTATAAATTGAAAGGCTGTAGAAGAAATAATTCAATTATTTATTGTTTCCTCTATTAAGATTACACTTCACAG